GTCGCCACAGTGGAGCAGCGGTTATATCAACGCTCGTGAGCCCTACAACCTACCTTGGCAATATTCAACGGCCTTATCCAGCTGATTGTATTTCCTAACCATTAGATCCAGAGCATCAACGTGATTTCCACTTTTACCAAGGAGAAGAATCATCTAAAGTCTATCCATAGATAATGGCAGAAAAAAGGATAGTTGGCCACAAACCTCTTCTACAAAGTTCTTCTGTCTGCACACTTCTAAGGCCCTATTGATTTGATAGTTTTCATTTTTCCTCAGAAACGGCATTAATTTCTTTCTGTCATATTCTGCATATAACCGGAGAGCCTGATCCGCAAACTCTGCTCCTTCGTTTTTACTGAGAAGTTTCGTCAAATACGCCATCTGGAAACGAATCCACAGGTTAGATACACTATGTGACACAAACACATGAAGACGGCTGTAAGGAAGGTGTTTAGGAGATTCGAGTCACAGAAGTGTCGGAAGCGGGGGTCTCAAGTGACATCGCGCGACCGCTAAGTGCAATGCGGGCCGCAGAGAAGATGAAGCGATGGGTCATCGCGCGCAGTACCCCAGGGTCTAAGTTGTGGCGTTGCAACTCGAATCTCCTGGTCAGCATCCATAGTAGGTCTCACAAGAAGGATAACCGTTTTGAAACCACTGCGAAAAGAATGGATCCAAATTGGAAACATCTACGCTGTGTTCATACTTACCAGCAGCGACCATCATCGTTTCCAGCGTTTGTTAGCGTCAGCAACTAGGAAAGTATAGACATCGATTTAGCGTTCGCCAGCGTCTACCAGCGTCCGCCAGCAACCATCTGCGTGGATATCGAACTAGCATCTACCAGCGTCTACCAGCGACCAGGGTTAGAGAGTTGAATTAGGCGTAGTCAAATTGTGGCGAGTACGTCCGCACCGTACCACTACACAATACCGTACAGTTGGTCGCTGGGGGACGCTGAATTGATACCCATACTTTCCTAGTCCCTCGAGACGCTGATAGTCGCTGGCGGACGCTGGTGACGCTGGTAGACGCTGCCGTCGCTAGATCGATATCTACACTTTCCTAGTCGCTGACGCTGACGGACGCTCGAGACGGATGGTCGTTGGTGACGCTGGTGGTAGCTAGTCGACGCTGCCGCAAAGTATGAACGCTGCCTTACAGAACAATGAAGATTTTCATTTTAAGTCTTCCCACCTGCACTTTCGGTTGTCGAGCCATTGTTGTCATGACCAAAGCAGCCGGCACGCTGTCCTCGTTGTCCAGTAGGAGTCGTAATGTTCGATCAGAATTTATCAGCATCAACTCGGATATCTGCTCTTTTACCTGATATCGAAAATTTTGATATTCAAACTTTTAATGGCACATTGCGCGAATCTGATAGCCGGAGAATAATAACTGTTATGCATTCCACACTGGCGGGTCCTTACCTTTACTATATTAACGGGGTAGCACAAAAAGAAAGCACAAAGATCGGATGGGCGGAGACTCACAAGGCCCGTCCCATCCGATTATCGTGGAATTTGCCTTCACGTAGACTACTCTACCACGCCAGAATCGTTCTGATACAAAAGTGAAGCTAAGATATACGTCTGAACCCTCGTTGATCAACCCCTCCAAGGCGTGCATGCATCTGACACCTATTCAGAACTGCAGCATTTGAACGCGCAAATTGGGACGGCGATTGACAATTACTCCTCAGTTAACTATCCAGACTAAGTCGGGTAACAAGTAGCCAACTCCCGAGATTTACAAAGATCGTCTGGGTTGCGCGGGGAGTGTGCGGAACGAAGAATTAGGCCCAAGACAACCTCCATACACTTAGCGAGCGCTACGGACTTCCATTTTTTTTCCACGGATTTTTTTTGCTTTCTCGCTTCACACCCACATTTAGCAGCCGACTTGTGGATTATATGCCTCCTTCAGACAACTTCGATACGTCGAGCCCAACTGTGCACCACAATACGGTCCCTAATACTCGACTCGGAACCTACTCTACAAGCACTTTGAGCTTCATGACTTTTATGTTTTTCCTTTTTCTCTTCCGGTCCCGGGCAGCCTGCCCACCGATATTTCAATTCCATTTAAGCTCGTTTACATGAGAAAGAGACTCACATGCTCAAAAAGTTGATACTTATCAATCACTGCGAAAACCTGCTGATCCCTGAGATTGGTATAGATTTTGATGGCGGAATCAAACTTTCTCTCATGGACATAAAGATGTGCCAAAGCGTGATACAGCCGCACCTCTTCCTAAAACTAAGTGCTGCTGAATTGGACAAAGTCCAGACGAACGAAAATATAACTACCTTAGGCGAAAGGGCATCCGTCTGTGTCGAAGAGGAGAGTACCTCTTGAATGCGTCCTCAGCGTTAAGCCAATCAGCCACCCTTCAAAACAGAACTTCAATTGA